TTGTTATATAGCCAGGATTTATAACAGATCCCTGCAAATCAAAAAGAAATAGGAATACAGCTCAAAAAAAAATTGTGAAAGATTCAAACGGGCATATTAAAAAGAGGATGTCCGAAGGACCAATAAACACTTCAATAAATGAAATGCAAATTTAAAGATAATAGCTACAGTGAAAGTGACAAAATACCAAACGCTGACAAAGACGTAGAATAGAAATTCTCACATACTGCTGATGAGGTACAATTTGGTACAGATGTGTCAGAAGATTTTTTATTCTTATCTGTATTTTCTAATTTTCCTACCAAGAGCAAGTATGCTTCCCTCTCTTGCCAAAAAAGCAGTAACACTGACCTTTAGCTTAAAAAGACAGCATTTCAAAATATATAAAATAATGAGGCAGAGAGAAGAGGGCCTGGGGCCCTGCCATGCTGAAAAGAATTGTCAGCGGTTAATTGAGCCAGAGGGCAGGACTGCAGATGCGGTGAGTTTCACAAATGACAAAACACAGCGAGGATCTGTTTCAAGCAGACCCCGCAGGCTCCTGGAAAACTGCAGGGCGTTCTTTGAGGCCGGGAACCAGAGGGGCCCTGCCAGGGGCCTTGGTGAAAGCAGAGGGTAGTCTGCTGGGAGCTTATTTTCTCCTTAAGTCATAAAATAATTTTCTTTGGGGAAAAACCAAAATGTGTCTGTAACAAATGCCGCACAGATTTCTGACAAATGAAAACTGCGAAACTTTGCTCAGGCCTTTGATTATCATGCTCTGCCCTAAATCTAAGAGTTAAGAGTTATTTTTGTCAGGCGTCCGTTTTTGAAGTTCCTCTGTATGGTAAGCAGTACACGAGGCCCTACTGTAGCTCCTGCTCAGGCAAATGGAAAGATGACTTCCTTTAACATAAAACTTGGGGCCCGGGGATCAGCTTTCTCTCTGCCTGTAAAACCAGCTGCTTCCAAGCTCCTCCACTCCATGGTTCTGCTCTCTCGGGATGTGCAAGTCCAGGGACTTATCCTAGAGTCAACAGACCCGTCATGTTCGTGGAGGAAATTCAGGGGGTCTGTGAACTTGAATGGGAAAAAAAAATAAATTTAGGTTTACTAACTTCTAACTGAAATGTAGCACTTCAGCTTGGAAAGTAGAACAAACCATAGTAATATTACCAGTCCCTGTTGTCATCAATAGAAATCAAATATGTTTATATCTTATTGTGGCTATTGCCGATATGTTGAAATGAAGTCTGTGCTCATGCTCATTCAAAATTGGTTATTAAACCCACTGCTAGAACTTGTTATGTAAGACATTAATAAAGAAGCATTCATATTACTCTCACAATTTTAAAAAATATTTTGATAATAGTATTTCAATATACAGTAAAACCTTGGATTGTGAGTAACTTGGTTTGCTAGTATTCTGCAAGATGAGCAAACATTTCTAATACATTTTAACTTTGTAAACGAGCAATGTCTTGCAATACGAATAGTTTGTTTCCAGAACGAATTATGCTCGCAAACCAAGGTATTGCTGTAATTGTAATCTTATGTATTACAAGCATTGAAAATTATTCTGAGGTGCCTAGAGGCTTTGTCAGACTGCCAACGGGACCCCTGGCATGACACAGGTTAAGAATCCTTACAAGGAGAGACAGCGTTGGTTAGGACAGGAAGAACCAAGTCAAAGGAGCAAGAAAGGGCACAGGGGCTGGGTTTTGGTTCTGGCACAGATTTAGCTGGATATGACAAGGAGAGACCCAACCCAACCTGAGTGCCAGGGAAGCCAGAGAGGTCCAGGAGAGCAAACAGCCTGGGAGGGCGCTGCTCATACCAGCACCAGAAGGTACAACCAAGAAAGCCCCCGAGCGAAAGCTCCCTGCCCTTTAGAGGAAGTGGGGTCACTTTCTGGAGCTTTGACTTTGACTTAGGTCACATCTAGTTCAATCCTCGCTTCATCACTCATCTTGGGCAACTTACCTAATCATGGTGAACCTCAGTTTCTCCATCTGTAAAGTGGGAATAGTAATACTTGCTCCAACATTTTGTTAAAGTTAAATAATTTATTCATTAATATGTTACACAAAGCAAGTTACAGAATATCCTATTTATGAAAAATGTTAAGTATGCAAAACAAAGTTACATGATTTTTATAGGTAGCAACTTACTAAAATATAAAATCATTCTTGATAATGATAAACACCAAATTCAAGCTCCTAGTACTTCATCTGGGAAATGGAGGGGAAATGGTATGGGAGGCATACAGGTGAAGGGGAAAATCTACATCAAATACACATGGCAAAGGTTAAGAGTGGATGAGGCTCAACAGTGGGTTCTTTTTAAAGCTTTATTTAAGTGAACGATAATAAACTGAACATTTAGAAATGTACAACTTGATAAGTTTTGACATATGTATTCACTCATGAAACCATTATGACAATCAAGATAATGAATATATCCATCACCCCCAAAAGATTCTTCATGCCTCTTTATTATGTCTCCAGCCTCCCTTTTCCCACCTCCATTTCTTGGTGATTGCTGATCTGACGTCTGTCACTTGATTGAGTTTTCTAGAATTTTATATAAAGAGTGCACTCTTCTTGGGGAGGGTCTATACCCCCTAGCATTCCTGGATCACTGGCTTCTTTGCGTCCAAGTCTGGGATATATGATGTAAAACAAACAAACAAACAAACAAACAAACAAACAAAAAACCCAGGTAACTTGTCACCATGCTGCCCCTTGGCTTCCCACATTCCTACTCATTGTGTCTCCTCTCTGCCTTTCGGAGTCTTATGTTTATTTTATATATAATGTCCAGGGTTTTTAGTTGTACTTTGCGGGAGGAAAAGGAGAAAGTACATGGATTCCATCTTCCTGGAAGCAGAATTCCTTCTACATTTTTAAAAGCTCCCTTTGATTCCACTTTTGCAAAAAAACCCACATTTCTTTACGAAACAGGGGCAGCATCCCAGTGTCCTTCAAAATAAATGGAAAACAAGTTTGCAATGGGAGATAAGATGATCAGTAAGCTTTAGACCACCCCGATCTGCCTGTCAAGACATTACACCAGAGGCAGAAAGCTACCTCTGTTTACTAGAAATGCCTCAATAAAATGAGATAATGTGAACACTGGCGATTTCATCCTTTGCCCATACAGACCTCACATGTCTGGTTTCTGCATGGCTAAAATCTGCTTGTTCGTCTTAGCCTTCTCCCCAGCTGCAACAATTATGCACACCTCCACTGTCCACCAGCTTCTCAGAGACTCCATTGCCTTCCTTCAATTAACTCACCACCTTTTTCCAAGCAGAATACATAGGAGACAGAAGAACCTCAACTTCCAGCACTAAAATTCGTAGCAGTCATGTCTGCTATGGCCACTTTGTGTGAATAAGAAAGAAGCACCCTTCCTTCGAGGCTCTTTACTATCATCTGCCAGGAAATAGTCATTACTATTCAAAATTAAGATGACATTGTAGTCAATAGTGCCCCCTGGATTTGTGAAACGCACAACCTGCTCAACAGCACAGATCCTACAACTCTACCTGTGTCTGCCCCCGTGCCATCTTCGTTTCCCAGGGTTACTACCTGAGGTCAGCCCCGCCACCTGTGCTCTGCATACCCTTTCTCCTCCTGTCCTGCTTTCTTAAGAATCGTTCTCATACACTACTCTTGGGCACGGGTCCATTTGGTCATGCGCTGATAAACATCCCAAACCCCTGGCTCCTCCTCCTCAGTAGTAAACAAGAGTATGTCTCTCCAATCTTAAAGAATAATAATTAAGAAACATTCATATCTGCCTTCCAGTATTCTTCTCATTTCTTCATAGGCAACTTCTTGAAAGGCCTGTCTATGCTCATTTGTCTCCATTTTGTCACCATCACCCTCACATTTTGTTACATCACCCAAGCTGCCTCCTCTCACCATCCCAGTGAACCTGTTCTAGCTAAATGAAATACTTGTTTAGACATGGCATGTCTCTGTCTTCATCTCATTAATTTCTCAGGAAAACTGGCTGAGTTGACGACCCTTCCTTGAAGCACTCTTCCCTTGCCTCCTGAAATAATCTAGTCTGGTTTTTCTCCTAAGGCGACCTGCTCTTCTTCCTTTCCTTCAAGTAGTGAAGCTCTTGCAGCCGTCCTGAGCCTCTTTCCCAAGTGGAGTTCTCGCCACCCGGCAATCTTTTCCATGCTTCTGCTCCAGTCCCACCCCCATGCACAAATCTAAGGCACACACTTCTAGCTCAGGCCTCTGAACTAAGAGATCCAAACAAGCACACCCCTGCTGAGCTTCTCCACTAGGGCGTCCCAAAGACTCAACATGCCTAAAAGCAAACTGCATGCAGATCTGTTCCTCCTCCTTTCGGTATGCGTTCCCTTTCAGCATGTGGTACCCCAACAGTCACCCAGCTCTCAGCCCAGACCTGGCAGTCCCCCATCTCTGCACATTTCACACACCCAACCCACCACCGCAGACCTCCTTACTCTCTCTCCAACCCTCCCTCTGCCATTCACCACGCCACTCTCTAGCCCAAGTAACCAAAGTCCAAGGAGCCTGGGAAGGTGCCCCCAAACCAACTGGGTCCACGTGCTTCGTGGGCCTCATGCTTCAAACTGCAGCGAGCACCCCTTTAGGGTCCGTGGCTAGGAGGTTTGAATGTCAGGAGAGAAAGCGCCCTGTGGGTTCTGTTCAGTGGGTTCTGGCACATGGCACAGTGCCTGGCACCTAGTGAGGTCAGTAAACACTCGTTACAAAACGAGAGGGAGAGGGAGGGAGGAAGAGAGAGAGAGAGAGAGAGA